AAAGAAAAAAAAAAAAAGTAAAAGTGTAAAAACTCACTCACTGGAAACTCCCCTTGCTGGAATTGGCCGACGGGTCGCATCTGATAGGCGCACGTAAAGTTCTTGATGACGGTGTTGCTAGGGTGACGAGTCAAGGCGAGTACCGAGAAGTTACCTTCGGAATCGCCGTTCTTGTCCAGGCGCATCGTCGCCCCGGTTATACCTGAAGAACAAGCAGAAGACATCGTTGACATTGACATTGACACTGACAGTTGTCGAGATCCGTACTTTTGTAAGTGCCCAGGCTGATGATGGTCTCGACGATTCGCGTGCCGTTCCCGGCGATCTCCGCTATGATCTCTTCGGTCAGGTGAGGTTCTCGGAGAAGGAGCGCGTGCAGAGCGGTCGCGTACAGTTTCACCGAATCGTACAGGTAGGCCGCGTAAATCGACACAAACTGCCCGGCCCCCCCCCAAAAAAAAAAACAAAAGTTATGCGTTATGTCATTATTATGAGGAGGGGTTACCCACCTTTTGATAGTTGAGGAAGATGTCGGGTTTGGTAAAGTTGAACGGTTCCAGCTCGTTGTAGTGTCGAACGCTCGCCGTGAAATTCTCGTAGTTCTCTGTGGGCGCAGTCGGGACGATGACGAACAGGGATTTGCCGCGTTTCTCGAAATCCTTCTGATGATCCAAGCACGTGTTGAACTTGTCGAAGACTTCCGGTTCTGCAAACAAACGAACAACGAAACAATGAGATTGTTGGATTTGTATTGTGTTGTGCTTCTTACTCCAGAGATACTTGTGTGCCATTTTGTCCGAGTACGTGTTCACGTCGACGGAGATGACCATGTACTCGCCCTTGTCGAAGAGCTGAGCCGTCTGCATCGTGTTCATGAGTTCGATGAGGGACATCGGAGTGCCGAGGAAGACGTAAACTGAAACGAACGAACGTAAACTGTTTACAATGGTAAGAAATTTGCGGAGCGGCCGGAACTTGCGCGCCCGACGCCCCTTTGTTTGACACTCACTTCTCGTGCGATTCTTCGTCTCCTGTATGAACTGATACCAATAACCGGATAGGCAACACGGCAACGTCTCCTCGCAGCACTTGTGACGATCCTCGGCGTTCTTGAAATCGTTTATAGTCATGTTCCTCAATTTCGCCTGATCGACCAACGAGAGCGCCACCGTCTTCCAAGCCTCCTCGTAGATGATCGTGAACTTTTTCCAATCGTAGTACTTCATCAACGATATCACATATTTCGTCACCTGTATTATACAGGCAAAACAATCAACAAACAAACAACAAGACAAACTAACAACAAATAGACGACGACGCGCACTCTAAATATAGAACGGCCATAAAGATTACACAGTAATTATCAACATCTGGCTGACCTTTACCACTATTTTTAGAACGCTCGATCTCTAACATTTGTTTATTACTTTAAACAATCGTTATTTTTGTCACGACTTACTTGGGTGTCCGGAGGTTCGGTCCTGGCGAAGGTGGGCACGTCGGAGGCTTTGTAATCGGAGCATTTCTGGAAGTCAAAACAAAAGTAAATGACATCTGTCAGATGCCAAACAAAAAAAAGAAAAGAAAGCTTACGTAGCTGATCATCGGTATGTTTCGAGCCTGAGCGACGATCGCCTCGACGTGGCAAGTACCCTCCGGTCCGAAGAAGGCGACGACGCCATCGCAGATCATGTCGGTCATGGCACGCGTCGCGACGACGGTGTCACCTCGCGTGTCGTTCCATCTGAGCACCAGCGTCACGTTCGGCAGCATCGACTCGTCCTTGTTGATCTTAAATTGTTTGTTTTTGTAATAGATGATAGCAACGGTTGTTAGGTAACGTACCTCGTCCAGGGCCATGGTGATGGCGCCGGAGACAGCGAGACCCTGCCTCTCCTTGAGTTCTCCCTTGACCGCAGTCAAGTAACCGACGGTGAGACTCTTCTTCTTATTCTTCGCAACCGCCGCCGTCGTTCTCGTTCTTCTCCTCTTCCACTCGTCGTCGTCGTCGTCATCTTCAACGTTGTTCTCGTTGGCGACGGTGCCGAGTCGCAGGTCGTCCGACGGGAGTTCGCGCTCTTCCATCGGCGACGAATGGTAAGTGGCGTCGACGTCGCGACGTCCGGCAACGCTCCTCCATCCTCCACCTCCGAAGAGATCATCGAAGACGACAGCGGTGGTGGTAGTGGTGGCGGCGGCGACGGCGGCGGTCCACGTGAAGAGAGGTAGCAGCGCGACCAGAAGGGCCGGACCGAGGCGCATGACCGGCCCTCGCGCTTACGAACCTTCTTTGATCACCTATAACAAAAACAATTTATTAAATTCTTCATTTATTACCGCGAGATGGCATCTATCTTAATTATAGACATTATAGGCAACACAACAATATTTACAAAATTCATTCATCACCGCGAGATGGCATCTTCCTTTAATATGGAAATTACAGGCAACACATTTCACAATCACATATGAAAATGTCCAAATTTCCCTCATACAAATTTCTTTGTTGGCTTCTACAATACGATTCAATTACTTAGACATGTGTGTAGCAGCGTACACACGCACGCACACGCATCGTGTTCTTCTGTATACCGAGGAAAATAAGATCGGATTACGCGAATTGTTTACATTCGGATCAGATTTCACCTACAACTCGATCCGTCTGATTAGAACGAAGAAAACTACACTACACACACACATTGAATACTATACAAATAACAAAGAAATGAGGAAAGATTGATGCGTGTTTACAATTTATATGAAAGAAAGTGCGTGTTTGCGCGCAAATCCAATCGTATTAAGACTTCCGTTTTGCGAAAACATTTTTTTCATCTTTAAACATATCTGCAAATTGTGTCCGGTATGGTGGACGTAGGCATAATCCATGCACGCGCGCACACACGGCGGCCCTCGTTTTACCAATAAACAAACGGAGAAAAGGAGCGGCATCTACGATGCAAACACGCGACTACAATTTACGACGTAATTGCCGCAACAGGAAGAAAGAAAGAAGGAAAGAATTAAACCCATCCACCCGTGAAACCTTTTACTTTTACTCCGCTTTATTTGTTTGCTTAAACATGTGTACTAATAACTTATTCGATGTTATTGCTCTGTCCTTCCTTCCTTCCTTCCTCTTCATATTTACTCAACTTAGGAAATGCGAAATTGCTCTTCAATTTTTTTTACTAATTAACAATGAGCCACCTTGATACTGTTTTTACAAACAAAGGATCAAAGGATGTTTCGTTGGGTATTAGGGATGCAAATTTTAAGAAACAAAATATATATATTGGAAAGTGAGAGAGAGCAAATTCATTGAGGAAAATCAAGTTGTCACGTACGAATCGCGCGCGCCCGTCTAAAAATAGAATCGCAGTCGGCCGGGGTGGCTATAAATAGACGGTAGAAATGGGTTTAAACTAGTGAGTCGAGGCGAAAAACCGGTACGAAAGACCGGAGAGTCGAAGAAGAGAAGAGGTGTTGACGATGCGACGATGATGGACGTGCGACGTGCAAAAGACGAAGAGGTTAGAGGGCTGCGAAAGCATCGAAGAAGGCCGAGATATGAGAGAGGGTGTTGCTACGAGTGCAACAGAGATAGATGTTTCTAAATATAGAAGCCAACCTGCTTGCATTTAAGTACGTACGTACGCACGCACGTAGATGTTTAAACTACTAAAGTACTCTCGTACGCCCGTTTTCATTCCACAAACTGAACTGTGCGAAATAATAAGATTCAATTCGAAAGAATCATCTCCACTTTTTTTTTAGTTTTTTTCTTCTTCAATACTCTTGGGTTTGCACCAATGTAAAACAACAGAAAATAAGCATCGTGATTGGTTACTCATTCAAAATATATTGGTTTGTTATTTGCACCATAGAAACGCAATATGGAGATTTCCAAAAAAAAAAACAAACAATAAGTTGTTAGTTTATTTTTTTTTTATTGTAGTTTTAGGTTTGCACCAATGAAACAATAGATAATAAAAGAAATGGCGTTTTTATAGAAATAAATCTATTGGTTGTTATTCGCACGTTGCCATAGAGAGAGAAAAACAAAATGGAGATTTCGACAAGTAACCAATAAAAACTCAAGAAACAAGATTGTTTTTTTTTGGTGTGCGTTCGTTCGTTCATTGTTCATAAAAAAACGAAAAAATCTATTGGTCGGCCATACGCAAATACGATTTGCTATTTGACAATTGAATGATGTGGACCAATGCGGAGATGTCAGCCAAAAAAAAAAAAAATCGACAAATCAGAACGCACGAAAAGGAAAACAAAACAAAAACGACACTATCTTGGATCGAATCGGAGAACCACTTGAAGGCGACTCTCGCTCTCTCTATTGTTTTTTTTTTGTGCTGAATGCGTGTTTTAATAAAAAAAAAAGAGCAACGCCTTACAACGACGATTTACGGATGTTTATTGGTCGATTTTTTTTTTTTAGATCATAGAAATGCGATCCGATAAAATAAACAAAATGGAGATGTAATGTTTTTGGTTGCCACGGATAAGAGGAAACAAATGGAATTTAGAAAGATGCATCTATTGTTTACCTGCCGTTGCCAAGTTCGTCGCCCCTGGCAACCGAGTGCGTACATGTATATTTGCGTGTGCGTGCATACTAATCGGGGTTACATTGAACAATTGCCGTGTGTCAAAGCCCACAAGGATCTAATGCAAAAATGATGAAAAAACAAAAAGAAAACACATCGATTCATTCTACTCACACCCTAAATCTATGTACTAACAAATGTAAATTAATTGGTTCACCTCAATGTTTTCGTTTGCTTTTTTTCTGCTTCTCTCCTCTGCTTCTCATCAATCGGCAGGTGAGAAAACAATCTTCACCGAGACTTTCCTCGATTTATGCGTCTATTATTATGATTATTAGTATTGGTGGTGTGGCGCCTTCGGATCGGCCAAATTGGAGATCGGCCAACGCAAATAATCCACCGAAACCGATGTACATACGCATACGATTAACGATAAATCCAGCACGCCGCGCAACAAGAACTGACTTTTGTTTCTCTCTTTTACCAAGAAACGAAAACAAATCTGCTCTCTAGCAACGAAATATGTGTTCTTAGCAACGAAAACTGCGTCCCTAGCAACATAGCATATTACATGTATAGCCCTCAATCGTATTTATAGATTTGTTACTAAACATTTGTTTGTTGTTTGTTTGCTGTCGCAGTTACGATTGTTCGAGTGCCAACTTGGATGATGATGATGATGATGATGGGAGGAAAAATGCAAACAAAACAACGTTGCCCGTCAGATGCGTGACAGATGCCTTTGATCCGCAACAAGATTACACGTCGGTTGCTATCGTAATCGAGCGGCAATTGTTGTTTATTGTTGCGGCGATACAAAGAGTGCTGGGCAACAAGTGAACAGACAAAATAGGAGAGAGACAGAGATGATACGATTATTATTATTATTAGGTACATTTGATGTAATCCCGAATTATACTCAAACACGCACTCATTTTTTTTTTCTGCTTTCATCATTCTGGTTGTTATGGGTTACAAATATATATGTATGTGTGTGTATGTACATTCATCAGATAAGATAATTGTTAAACGCGTTTAATTTGTTTCTGCCGAGCAAACAAAAGCCAAAACCCATTGACGCAACACGCACTCATCATCATCATAATTACATTTTTTCTTCTTTCAAATTACCGAAATTTCAATGTTTGATTATTTTATCTTCTTAGGTAGCAGAATCTCTTTTGTTGTTGTTGATTTGTTGTTCTTGCATGTGTGTGTGTGTGTGTGTGTGTAGAACAAGAGACGCACGTAGTCAGGGTCAGGGATATCTAAAAATAGCCCATTCGCAGCTATTTCACTCGAGAGATGATCTCAGGGCCGGACAGGCCAATTTGAATATATTTTGAATAACATCACCTGCATCCATCCAACCAACCAACATCTTCAACTCTCTCCAATCAACCAATGATGATGATAACAACGAAAACTGACATTGACAGTGACGTTTCCAATGTCAAAGAAAAGCAACTAACGGGAACATGGAAATACGCTCTTCGCTTTTGTTTCAAAACTCCATGGTTTTATTTGCAGAGCAACTGTTTGTAGTGCGTCGAGTATGTGTGTATGTGTGTGTAATCCTGTTGCTGCTTCTCTCTGTCTCTCTTTTTCTCTCCGTCTTTGCGAGAGTGCTTCTAAAAATAGAACGTGAAAATCGTATTTCACACAAGTAAACATGATGTAACTACTTTGAAGCAACAAGCCACCACTTCACTGAGACTGATCAAGAGAGAGAGAGAGAAAGAGAGAGAATACCGGCATCGTTGGTGCACGAGAGAGAGAGAGAACGAGACGAGAACAGATGGAGCGAGCAGCAGCATCGAGGAAAAGGCATGGCCAACCGACACATAACAACGAAAGAAAACAAAACAAACAAAAAAACAAGATGTGAAACATCCTTACTTAAGACCAGCATCGATTAAGCCATTTTCATCGTTCGACAATTTAAGATAATTTATGAAAATTGCTACATTTTCTAAAATCCAATGTCAAAAAGAACTTGAAACGTTGATTGATTCGCGAACGGATTTTAATGAGGAGAGCAAAAAAAAAAGGAAAGAAATAAACAAAACAGTTGAAAAACAAAACGCTTAGAGTATGTTTATGAGTTTGTATGTGTGAGAGAGAAAAAGAGAGAGAAACGTTGAAGGACTGCAAAATCTAAAAATATCGTCCTTCGCTCTTGTTATACAACGAAATTCTTCGAGTTTCAATTTTTCTCTTTTCCGTTGTTTTCTTTTGTTGATTCGTTACATTGTTTTTTTTTTCCTTTCAGATCTCTCTAGATTCTCGCCGTAACCAAATTCTGACGTTGATGTCATATGTTATCTCTTTGTTTCGATCGCCTTTTGTTTCGTTTCCTTATAAATGTCGCTAATTAACGAACAGAGAGATGGCGTTCGCTGCTGCTTCGATTGTTTGCAACATTGTTGCACGTTCATTGTAGAGAGGAAGAAACAACGGTATTCACTAATGCGAAATTATAATGATGATGATAATGATAGAAGGAAGCACGTGTTTCGATGAGAGACAAATTACGGTTTTAACAACAGTTCATGTTTTGTTTCCTTCTAATCAAAATGCGATTGTTCGTAATTTCGCTTCCGGAACGCAACCGCGCGTACATTTTACGTAAGCATAGATATGGGGGGTTGTTGATGCAGTTGCCTACGTCCGAGGGGATGACGTTTTTGTAAGGAAAGAAGAAAAAGAAAGTATGGAGAGCGCCATCTTGAAACA